TCTCTGACAAACAGAATAATTTATAACAACCATATCATAGATGAAACTCAAGAGACCAAATTCCTGGGAATCTACATAAATAGGAAAATGCAATGGGAAAAGCAACTTCAAGTAATATGTAACAAACTATCGAAGCAATCATATGCTCTTTTTAAATTGTCTAAGGTGGTTAATAAAAACGCTTTACTTGTGGTTTACCACAGTTACGTAGCTGCAACACTCAGATATGGAATCTTATTTTGGGGTAACGCAAGTAATATCATACAAGTTTTTCGAGCTCAAAAGAGATGTATAAGGGCAATTTGTGGCCTAAAACAGACCGACAGTTGTAAAAATTATTTCAAAGAGTTAAAAATTCTGACTTTGCCATCCATGTATATTTATGAAACCGCCTTATTTATACGACATCACCCGGACCTTTTTCCCTTGGCCACACGAGCACGTCGTCTAGGCCAGCTACGCCAAAGAATTTGTAGAACTGCATTGCTTCAAAAAAGCATGTTCGTAATGGCACCTAAAATCTATAATAAATTGCCATTACAGATCAGGCAGAGTGACACTTTCGACGAATTTAAACGCAAATTATTTAACTATCTTATTGAAAAAACATTCTACTCCCTGGAGGAATTTTTGTAATTTTATTATTTATAAAAGACATGACTGTGTATTGTAATTGATGACGTATTTTAATTTATTAACATTTGTTTAATTGTATCACTTTATTTTTAAATTTAAGATTACCTTGGTTTAATTTAATAATGTATAATTAGTTGGTCAATGTAATGTGATTTTTATTAATAATGTTTCTTTGAGACTCTACATTTCGTATGCCTTGATGGTACGTCATGGAGATCAATATTTTAAACGTTAACATCTGTACTGTTATACCCATGATGACGAATAAAATGATTTGATTTGATTTGATTTGATTTGACTTATTTACTAGTCATTCTCAGTTCCTGCAAACAAAATTATCCACTCGTTTCAGATTTTTTCCCACTGACAACTCTAACTACTAAAAATTCTTATTTCATAAAGCCAGCAATTCAAAGACAATGTTGGTCTAACGTTGCCGGGTGAAGGCCAATATCAACGTATAGACAGCCTATTTGCCTTGCCTTGCCTTGCCATCGGTCGGTGTCACTCGCCTAGCTGACCGAGTGAAGGCGAGCGCTAACGTGTATAAAGCTCGTTTGACGTGGCTTGTCACAACTCGCAGTCGCTCGTGACTACTTGTCTCACGTCGGAGAAATGTCCATTTTTCTGCACAAATCATATGCGCTCAGCCAATAGTAGTCAATTGACTACGATCATTGTCATCATATACAAATTGAGTGTAATCAGACATTTCCATGCTTATTAATATATGCGAAACATGTTTATACTAACACCGTCTCTTGTTACATCTCCAGTTATACCATGTTTTAAGCAAATAAACTTATGATAATAATATTATTATAGATAATATTACTATTTTCATTCATTTCCAAAGTATTAAAGAATAACTGAAATCGGTCGCTGATATTAATTCTATACCAATGCATAAATACAAAAAAGCCTACACTATTTGGAATCTGTTTAAAATTTCTCTATGCAAATATGAATGTTGAGGTTGGAAATGTGTAGGAGTTATATTTCAAAGATTTCTCTTTTTTATATACTCTCAAATTACAAAATATTAATTTTTTTGTGCAAATTCACTTTTCGTAATATTTGAGTATTTGTAAACGCAAAACAATAAATTCAAAATTTCATGTGACATTCCCGGATATTCTCATAATAACCTAAAATATGCCCAAATGGAATATTGATCTACTTTAATTAAATGTTTGCATGTCGATAATGACTTTTCGATAGATTAGTACGACACTAAAGATAGCCGCCATTTGTTCGTAAAATGTTTGTTTAGGTATGCACGTTCATTCCGTAGTTAGGGCAGCTCCTTTCTTTTATTTTTTTTCCATCCTCTAAGGACACTACTCAAACGTTCTTTAACATCTTTCATGTCATTTTTAATTAAATGTCTATCGAATTGATATTCAATAATTTTTTTGTGAAATTACTCCATTACTTTGTTAATATTATTAATAGAATATTAATAGTTTTTTTTTTGCCAAATGGTTATGCCTTTGTACATACCTGTTACACAACATTTTGAGATATTATTTTAATTTTAATAATTTCACAAATATAGTGAAAATATAGTGACGTTATCCTGTTCAGGAATACAGTGACGCGTTTAAGCAGATATTCAATTAGCAAAAATACGACGCTGTAGTGAATATCATAGGCAATAGAATTCTGGTTCAGAACTATAAAGAGCGCCTTTGTGATATGGTTTACGAAATTATAATTGACAGACTATAATACAGGAGTAAACAAATAATTTATTTGCAGTTAGTGTGCTAGTATATTTATGTGAAAAGGCGTTTAGAATTTTTATAGCACACTACAATGGACATGTTCACCCCGGGAGGGAAGAACTTAGGCAAATCCTCTTATTAGGCTAGTCTAAATTGTTTCTTGGGTTGAGATTTATAAAACTACCTTTGCCTTGGACTAAGCAAAAGTGCTGAGCGAAGCAAGTTTTGCTTTTCGTATTCACAAAACGAACATTATCTAATAAAAATGGAAGTAAATTAATTTGCTACTCCGCGAACCCAGTGAATGTCAAATCGTGCAAAATAGCTGCGCTTGTGTTGAATATTTTTTCATTCAGTTAATTATAGCAACCCTCCCTCCGCATAAAATTAATAAAATAAATAACACAAGCGCAACTATAGTCCCAAACCATCACCAAAAAAATACCCGACACGTGTTTCACCTCTCCACGAGACACCTACAGGGGCTGTTGACTGCTCGACCCTCGGCCGAAGAATGAGCTCGTTTTTTTTATGAAGGATATTTTGCAGTTGGCCGCTGATGGCCTTTACAGCGCCACCGGAGAAAAGGGCGAGCTGAAGGCTCATAACCCCTAAAATAAACTTAAAGCTAAGTAGCGGGTCTGAGGGCGCCCAAGTGGGCACAGACCTCGGCTCAGGGCGCTACTGGAGACTTCCGCCAGAAGGGCGTGCTGTAGGAGAGAATCTACCAGTGTACGTGCTGAAATGAGGGGCTCTACGACCTCGCCGGCGAGGACGGTTGGTGCGTGCGGGACGGGACTGACTAGCGATCTGGTTGGCCTTCAAAGTGGCGAGAGTGATAGGGTCGTCAGGGTCGTTGAGGACTTCCCTTGGCCGACGGGTCCTACGTACGCGGTGGGGGTGATCCCTGAGGGGGTCGTAAGAGGATGCAGCCACCACGAGGGGGTTGGGGTGGTGAGGAGCAGAATCGAAGTATTTCCTCGATGCCTGTTTCATGAAGTGAGCTCGTTCAGAACGGTTAGTGTATTTATACCCCACTACCCCCAGTGTTGCTATTGTTGAAACCCGAAAATACCCGTAATAAAGGTGATAATGCAAAATTCAATTGTTCATTAATTATACAACCCCTGTTGTTGTACCTAATTATTTCCATCTGTTCTAAGGCACCCAGACGTAGTCCTTTTTCGCAAAAATGTAAGATTTCATAAGAATGGGCATCTGGTAAGATATGATTTGTTTCTAACAAATATTTAGCGAAATTGGACCTGTCTGGGTGCTTATGCCTAAACGAAGAAGCATGCTCTTTATATCTAGTTATAAAGTTACGCCCTGTTTGACCTATATATACACTGTTACATGTGTCACAGGTGAGCTTATAAACTCCCGACTTCTTACCACTTTCCACTCATTCCTTCCCATTGCAAAGTCTAGACCTCAAAGTGTTATTTGTCTGTTTGTGTTGCAACATTTATATCATTTGATTTCAAAATTTTATAAATCTTTTCTAACATATGCTTGAAAAATTAACTGCATGAAAAAATATTCAACACAAGCGCAGCTATTTTGCACGATTTAACCTTCACCGGGTTCGCGGAGTAGCAAATTAATTTACTTCCATTTTTATCAACATGGACTTCCGCAAAGTAACGCCTGAATCTATTAAGAACGTTGTCTAAGTTATGCTTAGGCATAGACCAACAATTCCAGAAGACTGCTAGTCTCCATACTACAAAACCGTAACTTTGAACAAGTTTAAAATCCCGTCTTATATTTAGATGGCACTGATCGATAGCCTGGAAGTACTTTATATTGTGGAAATGGCCGAGGATATCAAATAATTCCACTTTAATGTGAATAATAATAATAACGCATACACTCATAACCCCGCACTAGGGAAACCCTGTGTCGCGGGTGTCATGGAGACACATAGACAACCACAAATTGCACCCAAACTCACGAGAGAAACAAATCTAGGCCATACAAACGTTTCTCCCGGGTGAACCCGGGACCTCTACGTTGTTGACCAGTACCAGCAGAACAACTTTGATGAAATATGAGCAGTCAGTTTTATCTTTGTAATATAATTCAAATACTTGTCCATGAGCTAAACTTATTTTCTGAAAAAAGTTAATAGACTAGACACTACTTAAGACGATTTTATTTAGCGTTGGCAGCCTGTTAGACAAGGACAAACCACTACTTCGAGCTACCTCACGTAGCTCGGTTTTTTTAGTTTTACTTAAAATAAACCTTGACATAACCCAATAAGGTGTAAATTTGTAATACTGGTATATCGAAGTGTTCGATCCAGTTTATGAAATATATAAATCCGTGCAAATTTGTGACAAATATGCCTATTTGGTATTCATTGCGACAACTGGCACACCAATAGGTAAATTACGCCGCCTTGTGCCGCGATCAGCAGCCCTCTCGAATTATTTGTTGGTCTATGGTTTAAACAAGAAACTAAAAAGTAAACTCAAAGCTTAATTTAATTTCTCGAATCGAAATTCCGCAACTACGGCTTACATGCCTGTTTACTGCTAATAAATAAACAAATTTCAATCTCTTCCGTAGCACTAGCGCGCAATTAGTAGGACTACGGTCCAGTGAAGCGTAGCAAAGACGAGAGCTCACTTGGGCCGCGGGCCCGCTACGAGTGCGAGCCCCTCGCCAGCTCGTAGAACAGCACGTAGGCCTCCGACGACACCACGTTGCGCGGCGAGATGGGGGTCACCCTGCGGACAGTGGTACGGGTCATTGGCTGCTTCGGGCGGCTTCGGCTTCTTTCGGCCTCCGTCGGCATCCGTCGGCTAGCTAGGCTCACCTGGAGTCGTTGTACTCGTGCCAGTCGCCGGTGTACGGGTGCTTGCAGTACGCCGTGTAGTGGCCGGAGTACGTGGTGCCTGCGGGCAACGGCGGATACTTTCATTTCGAATACCAGCCCGGTTATAGTTCTAATTTACAATCAATCCTGATCCGGCTTTTTTATTAATAATATTATTTCAGACAAGCAACTTACACTTGAAATCGTTATACTGATTAAACTCTACCGCTCATTCGTAAAGCAGATTTCCCTGAGTTTTCTCAGCAAATGAGCAAGAAATTCTAAGGGTTGCTCTTTGTAAATATACATTTATCATTACAATATCTAATTAAATCATCCTTCTCAGATCGAGACTACTTGCAAAAACTAAACGAGTCACTACCGCGCTTAAATATATGATTTGTCTTTTTTGAAGACGGAGGAAAATGACATTTGTGGAGTTGCCAGTTTTCACAAAGTTTTAAATAGCTATGTCGTTGTTGTCGATAGTTTTATCGATAGATTGTGAAAGAATATGAACGTTCTAATGATTATTAATTGCATCATTGCCTCCGTTATTCTTATGTTGACAGTTGGCCGACTAGTCTCGAGGTCCATTTTTATTCATATATACTTTAACAAAAACAACCAGAATTTATTGTCTATATTAAATTAAAATGAAAAATGTTTAAATTTGTCTTGTGTTTGTATTTTTCATAAACATAGCTCTAAAATTGACAATTCAAATGAACTTATGCTCATTAATCGGATGAATAATGAACGAGTCGTGGATGATTCAAATGAAATAAGATGGGCTGGTTTTATTCCATAAGCGTGGTCAATATTTCTCGAAGGAATATTTATCGACTGCAATCACTGGCTGCTCGCAAGCGGGCGACATTTTTACGCAATGAACTGTCATTTTACCCCGTCTTCAAAGAAGACAGACTGTAGTAAGATATAGAGTAGTCGGTATGTCCTACTCGGGCAATTGCTGCGGCGACAGGTCGGCGGGGCCGACGAAGCCGGTACAGGAGGGTTTTACCACACATACAAGGTTACTTCGCACCATCGCTAAATTAACTTAAAAATGGCGTCGCTTCTCATGCAAATAGAGCATCCGCACCCACGGCTACTAAGTGAAATCGGTTCCGTTGGGCACTTGCAGGTCGATCCCTAGACGCGACCTGGAGACACTCACCCGAGTGGTTGCTGACGGCGTAGAGGTTGTAGACGGGACTGGCTTGGCGCGCGGCGGCGTAGGGCGACATGTCCAGGCCCGTCAGCGGGAACTCCACCAGCACGTTGAGCTTGCCGCGGAAGCGCTCCGTCGGGGAGAAGCTGCGGGCAAGGGCCGTAGTGGTTAGTACTGGACCTCTGCTCGGCCCGTCGGCCGTACCCGCCACTCACCGCTTGAGGTGCAGCACCAGCACCTGCGGGAACTTGTGCACCGTGAACCACTTCAGGCACTTGCGCCGCACGCCGCACTTGCTGCACGTCTGCAACACGCGAAGGGAACGGTTTCATGCGAGTCGGGGCACGTGCCGCTGCAGGGGTCCATCAGAAAACGACCGTTCTCCCGCTGGGCCCCGACCGCTTCGAATCACAGTTCGTTTCAATTCAATATACGGGAAAAGTAAACAGACAGGTCACTGACCCGACGACACTAAGTTTAGTGATGGCAAATAGATTAAGTAATCGCAAGAATCGATTTAACTAAATCAGTTCATCGTGACAAGTATTTTCGTTATTGCAATTGAAACATTGCTGTTAAAGTTTGGTAGTAAAAAGTGTGTTAATTTGCTAATAAACACGGTGTACTTATTGTTACATGACTTTCAAATCCTTACACTTAAATATTTGTTCGATTGTAACTCAAATTTTCGATTATCTAATCGATTACTATCACTTTAATTATCGAACCAATTTTTTTTCTACACCACTATCCACCATAGACTATTCATACTTCTACATTTCAAAAATAACATCACTTTTGGATTAAGAGTCCTCTTGCTAAAAAGTTGTGACGTTGGCTCCACCCACACTCCCCGCCACCTGCACCTATCATTCGCCGCCCGCTACCCGTAAGTCGCAGCGCAACCGATTAAAAGTAATTTTCGCGCGGTTATCATCGACCCGTAACATTGAAGCCGTAGAGTCGTATTCGACTACTTCAAATTTTTATTACACTTCTTTATTCAAATAAACGTATTACGTATTTAAATATCTAACCCTAATTCTAAAGTACAATTTGAATAAAATGAGTTAATACACCGCTAAATTTTTAATTGCCAACTGCCTCCGTGGCCGAACGGTTACCATGCCGGACTGCCACGCAGAGGTCCCAGGTTCGATTCCCGGGCCGGGAGAAATGTTTGTATGGCTGACATTTATTTCTCTCGTGAGTTTGGGTGTAATTTGTGGTTGTCTATGTGTGTGTCCATGGCACCCGCGACACAGGGTTTCCCTAGTGCGGGGCTATGTTGAGTGTGTGCGTTATTATTAATTAATTAATTTATTTGTTTCCAAATTTTACAGCTTTTAAATTTGGTTTACAGTTCTGAATAATGTACTTACATAACCAATTATAAAGTTTGTCAAATAAAAAAATATTTTTTTACGTTATATAAAAACTAATTCGATGCCAGAACGAAGCGACTTAAAACATTGTTTATCAAAGAATAATGTAACAAATTGAAATATATAATGATAACATATTATAACTGAATTCCGTTGTATTAATAGATTTAGACATTAATTTTTAATTGCTATATTTTTTAAATGAAGCGACTTATAATATAATAAACAAATGGACTATAGTAGAGTATGCGCATTTGTGTGTCTACATGTGTGAAGGTGTATGTGTATATGTGTGAATGTGTGTATGTCTATGTAAATAGGTATCTGACAAATTTCTGCAAGTGTCTTCATTTTTTTGATAGTTTTTTTTTACTTTTTATTTATTTTTTTAGGGAAGCCAAACGACAAGGGTGAAATAAATCATTTCGCTGTCGTTTCCAATTAAAATACGGATTGATAGAAGCCATGCAAAAAATGTCAACCTATCAGCATATTAAAATAGACTAGGTTCAATGTAAACATTGAAGAAAAGGAAGAGAAAATATGTTCCACAATTTACTTTAGTACAATTTAACAAGTATTATTTCTCAATTTAAAATCTTTAATTTGTCATGAGCCCAGGCCCATGCATGTGGACAAATTCATATATTAAAGGTGATAATTTACCTTTAATGCAACGTTTCATATGCTTAGGAGGTAGTTTTTTAGAGAATCGCTTTTCCTTGTCACTGATAATAAGTTTTTAGCCGAACAATATCACCACCATTAAAGTCATACTTTTTACGACGAAGATTATAAGGACCACAATTCAATTTCTATTATGCGACTTTCTTAAAGAACTATGTACATGATCGAAACTTTCTCTAAGTTTACCGGTGTTTTCCGCATATTCGTCTCTAGGCGCAATAAACCTTCGGATTGGTCGATATTCTATCGTCTGTACCACGGTGAGTGCTCTGAAGAGTTATTCAACCTTGTCCCTTCCTCTCCTTTCCATCAGCGGACCACCCGTGCCGGACTGCGTTGCCACAGTTGGACGGTCAGTTCAATACCGTCCCGCACTAAAAAGTTTGGCAATTCGTTTTTATGCCGAACCATCAAATTGTGGAACCAACTCCCGGCGCATGTATTCCCTCCCCTCTATAACATCGGGTCCTTCAAACGTAGTGTGAAGAAGCATTTGGCCAGACCGGCAAAATGATAGTGACGGAGTGAAGATATTTGTGTTTTCCATCCGTTACTCTCATCTCTGGACTGTATTCGCACTTTCCATCAGGCGCGGTGCAGTCATTTTGCCGAGTCACAATAAAAAAAAAAAAAAAAAAAAAATATCAAGATTGTGGGAACCACAAGCTACCAATTCTCTCCAGATGTGATGTTACTAATGGCAATATTGAGAGCAAGTCGATTTTTTGGGATATTCAGATCCCAAGATCTGTGACTGTGACCCTCGTCTATGAACGTGGAGACAGCTGCCATGATGGTTTTGTTACAGCGCTCAACAGAGTTTACCTATGGAGTATATTCGTGCGTAAAATATACATTAGGGCTTTTGTATCTCTAGTGTTTGAAAAAACAAATTGTCTTAGATGTCCCACTAATTCCCATATTCTTACGAATTGTAAACAACCACACGAAATAGTACCTATGCTTTAAATATGGAAAGAAAGGCATTCGAACTCCAGAGTGTCCAGTTTGTGATAAAAAAAATCTAACCATAAACGTAAACAATTTGGATTGCTGAACCGGTAACACTCTTTGCACCAGATTTTCGGAACGTTGCAAAGAATCTCTCAATACCTTGTATGTGCTTGTTGTCGTGTCTTTGTATTTAACTGTAACTGGGTGATAAAACTTTCATAGATTTCTCATAGATGGCGCTACAACAAAAAAGTCGTTGAAAAACCAAATACAAAGGCACGACAATAAACGCATAGAAAAATTCGTGAGGTCAGCTAGTTCGTTCCGTGGCTTAGTTGGTATAGCGTCTGCCACGGTATGCTAGAAGACGTCGGTTCGAATCCGACCGGATCGAAGGATTTTTTTCTGAGTTATCGATCTTATTATAACGAACCATGAACTAGTTTCATAAAACCACCAAAATACTTACAGGTTTTTCATCTCCGTCCATCTCCTCCTCGCGCGTGAAGTGCGCCAGGCACTGCTGCAGCTTCAGGTTCCCCGTGCGGGATGGTATTGGCAAGCTGCAAGTCCAGCGGGAAGGCAACATTATTACAGTGCAGCGAAAACGTTCGCAAGGCCAAGAGATAGGCCTTCATAATGCAGAAATGAGGCAACGCTATGGCTATAAACGGCGAACAACAAATCGGTTGAGGGTCCTCACCTAAGATCCCAGAAGGGGTCGAAAGTGACAGAATCGTGATTGCAGTGCGTACAGCGCAAGGTGCTCTTGAGTTGTCCGACGAAAATGTCGCCGACGCGGCTGTCCTCCATGCGGAGGTAGCGGCTCCACGCTTCCGCGGCTTTCGCCGAATCACTGCAAAATTTTAATCATTGGGATATGGTTAATTTCTGTAACAAGGTCGATGAAGGGAGTCACCATACTTGTCGGTCACTTGTCGCATTAAGCCGTTCGGTCATCGGCTCGGCGCCGTGCGGACGCGATCGGATCGGAAATATTAGGGCGTGTTCAGCCGCCTACAGAATAGGGCCGCGCCGGTTTTCACTTTTGGATAAAGCTTTTTCTTCTTTATTGATATTTTAACCGAATCGCTCGATGGACACCGTTTAGAACCGAAGGTTCCTTTTCGAGCTATTCAGAACATTCGATTGAAATGCGGATGCGATATCGATTAAATTTCACGTCACGTGCTTTCTGAAAGAATTTGAACACAACGACCTTTGCCTAAGGTTACATTGTACCACACCCCGGACACTCTTTACAACGGTCGAAAATTATTTACCTACACTACCACGTACAGCAAGGCGCTATCTGCACACGCACAAATGTGTGCGCGAAGTGGCAGGGTTATCCATCACTTGCTCGTACTATTATATTACGTTGTCAGAGCGGCAACACAGCGAAAATTCTAATATCATTCTATTATAGAATCCTAATAATTACACAAGTTCATTAGGTATTTATACCGATATAATATTATATTTTTCATTAATTCACTAACTAGAATAATATTGAAGATTTATTTTAAAAATAATTAAAAACACTTAAAATGTTATATTTTGGACAGGTACCCACCCTTAAATAAATTAACCAAAGTATTTGACATTGCGTGTCCAAGTTTATCATTACCTAGTCAATAATTAGGTATATTCACTACGTAATATTTATTGGCAATACAAATTGAAAATTCGAGAACCCTTGTCTAGCTCTCGAAGTTATGGTGTCTTATTATATTGGTATCATAAATCTGTATTATATATTACTCTGCACTAAAGAATATTTGAATGAGTCCCAGACATAAGTTTTTTTTACTTCGTTTCATCTTTCAAAAAACGAAATAAACTCCTCTCTTTATTCCGTTAAGATGATTATAAACAGCCGTACACAGCTCCATTCACGACCATTATAAATACTAACGTAAAATTATGTTATACATTTACGAACAAATTTCGTAATGAATAAAATGAAAACTACTCGTATATTCAAATCTCAAAGCCGTCTTCGCGGGAAAACGGCTCGCCGACAGCCTCGTTGTCGTTCAGTCAATGTGACCGCCAATGTGCGGGGCGTGGTGCGGTATCTATAGCAGGGAGGGGCGGAGAGTGTCCATTCTCGTTACTTATTTGTTCTCTGATTGTACACACGCCAGCACATCAAGCTACACATTGACGTATCTTGTTCCGTTGCACTGGAGGCGATTTTCGAACAAAAATGTGTAGTCTGATGTGCCGTTGTCCGTACATAACGGACTTTTACTTTTGTACCAAGCTAAACTTTTTACTTATTCTATTTTAATTTTTATAACAAGATTATTGTGTCGAGTTCTCAGGTTTTCGAGATTGTTACACATAGTCAATGAAACTATTTTTCCGGATTTAAATCGTTGATCGAAACGTCGTCGGTTTGTTTGAAAAAACAAATATACGCGATTTAAATACGGAAAAATAGTTTCATTTCCTAAGATTATTGTGGGTGTAAATAATGGTGAGTTACTTGATTATTTAAAGAATAATATTGTTCAAGATGTTTAAGATGATTAACGATCGTACATTTTGATGAACAACCACCGCAGCCTTAACAGACCCATAGCAGTAACTTGCGTGTTTATCACGAATTTATTGTGAAAGAAAGATCACAGTGCAATATGGACTTGCACAAGCTTATTTCCCAAGACTGTAATTACTGCATTAGGCGTTGAAAAACACTTTACTTAAAAATAGACAAACACAACCGGACGGTTGGGATGACTTGACAAGTTATCGTTAAATATCTACGAAAACTCAAAAAATGGCGGGCTTTTGAAGTTACAAGTACAGTTTTTACAAAGACTATTTTATTACACGAATAAAAAAATAGTGATGAAGGAAGTTCGAACCATTTTCCTTATTTTAAACCAAATTACAAAAGATTATCTTGCAAATTAAGTACATAAGTTACGTCAAAAATATAATATATTCATATATTCTCCAATTCTTGTAACTCCATGTACTAATATTGTCGATAGAGTTCAAAAATTGAAGAGGATGTGGTTTATATTGTTCTGTATCTAATGGTGCCATAAATCTTTTTGACGTAACTGTATTTTTGCCATTCTTCCATGAGGTGTGCGAAATATTAAATGCCGCCGCTGAAGAGACTATTTAGAAAGCTCAAACAAGAGAACCAAGTTATTTAAGAGAAAGTGAAAAGCTAACGTTGTAGAAATGCAATGGAAAATTTTTAAATTTAATAAGGATCCCGACAGTCAAACGAAGACACGGCTCAAAGGACTTGTGTTCAAGCGAAAGCGCTTAATGAAAAAAAAATCTACGAAAAGAAACGGACGTTCGGAAAGTTTTATTCGATAACCGCGTTTAAGTGGCGCGATTTCGGTTCGGTGACGATCGAGTCGGCGGACAAGTACAGCGGCTCCCGTCGCCCCGTCGCCGAGGCGGTCGTCGCCCAGACCTGAGGCCGTCGTCGATTTCGGCGAGGATCGGCTTGGGCTTGGCGGTGACGCGGTTGACGTCCTCGTGCAGGCCCTCCAGCAGGTAGCGCAGGAACTCCTGCAACGAGAGCGGAGCGTGGGCCGGCGCGGCCGGCGCGGCCGGCGCGGACGGGCTTTGCGGCCGCGGGACTCACCTGCGCGTCCTGCTGCGAGTAGCCCATGAAGCGCGGCGCGAAGCGCTGCACCTGCGCCTTGAGCGACGTGGTGTTGACGACGGCGTCGCGCTCGCCGCCGCGCCACAGCTCCTTCACCACGCTGGCGAACGCTGCGGGCACGGAGCGCGGAGCGGCCGTCAGGCGCGTATACTCGGCAAGTTCGAGCTCTCGGGTGAGTTTACAACGGGACGTACATACGTTGCAACAATTGGGGAAAAGCTCCCAAACGGCGCTTTCGCCCGTTCTACGAAATTCCGACGAAACATATATATATTAATACCTTGATTGGTACACCTTTCACCTGGCCTTGAGTAACCCCGAAATCTAGTTTCCGGGAAACACAGATAACACGGCAGTGTGTACAATTCGTTTGCCGGCATCGAATAGCAAAGCGCATCGTGTGAACACGTGGTATATCAAGTAGCAAATAATTGTATTGAACCTTTGATGAGTGCGCCTTTCATGCAAGACAGCGTGGTGTTGATCTCGGAGGTGTACTTGTCCTCGGACACGTATTCGAGCAGAGGTCGCGTGTTGGAGAGGCACTGCAGGACGCTGTTCATGAAACAGGTGTTGCCGATGTTGCGGAGGCCGTTCAGGCCTGGAACAGTCCACACCGACGATACATTCAACTCAATTTTGTTGTATTTAATCATATGTAAGTTACGGCATTTTCGTGGAGGTCAATGTTAAAGAAAGTTCGGCTTTACGATAGTTTACATTTATGTGTTGTCTAATTCAAAAACTCCAAGTGGTCGTAGCCACGTAGAAGCCACAGTCCCCGGTTCGTGTCCAGCCGGATCTAAGGAAATTTTCTGTGTGTTCGATCTTTGTTTTAATAATACTAACGTATTTTCACAAAAAAAAACGTTACGGTAGTATCGAGACGTAGCCCGGTAGACATATCCAAGATATTCAATAAAAAAAAATATCGAAGACTCAAACTCAAGAACTAGCCATGAAGGAAACAAGTTACTTGGGCTAGGTGAATTGAAAATACTATATGTGATATATGTGAGCGCTCACTCACAATACTAAGGGCCAGGTGACGTCACGCGACCCTAGACAGTCTCGAGTCGTTCATTTTAATTAATTATAAGAGACAATCATTATTGATACAAAACTTGAACACAAAGAACAATTTCTTCGATCCGTCTGGATCGGAACCAGCGTCCATCGCCTCATCGTGGCTGCCGCTCTTACCAACTGCACTACGCATCGAGCCAGCAGACGTTACGACATTCTGTGCGTGCTTGTTGCGGATCTTTCTTTTAGGTATAAACGGCCTTTTTGCCGTAGCGCCACCTGTGAGAAACTTATGAAAGTTTCTTCGCGTTTTTCGTAAAAAATATATGAATATCATGTAAATGCAAAAAAATATAATATTTAAGAGACGGACGTTAATATTTTCGGCTGTTCTTATTAAACTATCTAAAGAACAAATATGAATTACTACCGTCAAGTAGCCATCTGGCGTTTACGGTTTGGGAATGTTCAGCTCATCCTTGATTTTAATTCTGGTGGAGTCGTTCGTTTTAAAAACTATGTCGCTTGTGTGGATTCGATATTGTACTATGAAAACTGCACTCACCGCTGGTGTGACTGGGCTTCCGGTCGATGCGAGAGTCGGTGCTGGCGTCGGAGCGCTCGCTGCTGCGCCGCCCTGCCACGGCCCCACTCTTACCACCCGCCAATTCCTGCGCACCGTGTCAGGTTAATAAAGGCGTCGATTGTCACTTCTATTGTTAAATCAACTTGACGGGTTTAATTAAATGTATTACTCGATTACTTCCAAAAGGAGTATCTTTTGGTCTGACAAATCAATTTAGCCGTAGTCAGTAATCCACAAACTGATTTCGGCCTTGTCCAAGGTGGGGTGAATTTGTCAGGACAAAAATTTACAAGTATTACATATTTTCATTGCAAAACGTCCTCTGAAACCCAGAATCTGAAGCCGACTGCAGTGAAAAACTGTAATAGTACAAAGAAATAACATTTCCAAGTTGTGTGTACTGACGCCGTTAGTTGAAAGCGCTCATGTGACAATAACTCAAAACCGAGAAAATAATGTTTAAAGAAATCAAACTGAAAAATATCTAGTTTTCCCTTGCGGTAACTTATGAGGTAGAAAAAAATAAACTTATTGGCAGATCGGCCTTTTCTTTCGGATCACGGCAGTATACATAACAAAATTGAAAAAAAAAAATGCCATGCCACATGCGCCTTTTAAAGTAATGGGGGCAGTGTAGGTAGCTTGGAATCCCGTTAATATATTTGATCTAACCTCTCTTTGTTACTTGAAAATCAACAATTGTACAATCATCGTCCAAATGGGCGCTTATAGCATAGTATAATAAGACCAGTATAGTAACTCCACACAAATGTAGCAGTGCGACTAGCATGTGTGCGCGCCTGCCGTGTGTCGTATACGGATGACCACATCCACATAATCTCGGTGTGCAATCGCGCTGCGCAGCGCGCGGCGTCTCACGCGCCGTTCATTACAGAATTCAAGTGTTCGTTTGGTGTTACAAAAATCATTTCAAGATGTAGACGTGTTTACTGTTGAGTATCTCATAATCTTATTCCAAAAATCGAGAAGCCAACCCGCAATGATGACATGAAAATTTTCACTACGTAAGTATGGCTTTAAACAAAACTTCAATATATCACGTGAATATTTTGATGAACGCCGTGATTTTGTCAAATTTTGTGTACCTACAGTAAAACTAAAATAATGATGTGATAACCCTACGGTCCGAGCGAAGCATTTACGCGCCGAATAGGCGGGAGTTGCCCTACTCGTCTTATTATACTTGGCAATAGAACGTCCGCTTTTGAAAGTTAAGTAAGACCGTACGTCTTACTATTACGACAAAAATGTCGATACGACCATTTTGACCACAGACATATATGTAGATAGACGCCGCCAGTGTACGTACTTCGCGTGGCCAATATAAGTGAAATACACTTAGTTGCCGCTGCTACACTTCACAACGCGCTCGACCGTATCGTGGATAAATTTGATTTTGTATGAATTTCGAGAAAACAAATATGCAACCGAGTGTATCCCTCATGATTGCGGCTTTTACTTGGTGCGATATCACAAAAATTTCATACGAGGCCGACATTAAGTAAATATCTTCTGATTGATAAGATTTTACCATATTTAGTCAGCAGTAACATTTTCATTTGTGTTGGCATTCATCAATTTGATCAATTACCAACAGAAAACCATCTAGTAAAATTAATTAAGGCAGTCGCATATATTGATTCATATATTGAGGTGCGTTTTCATTTCAAGTTAATCGACAAGATCTTCTATTACAAAAAGATGTTATATAATAAGCTCATTTTATTGGAAGTACTTTCCTTCCAATTCAATTTCAATATTTGAAGTCGATTAAAGTCTCAATATTTTTAAGTAATCAACATTTTTTATAACATGTAAAATAAAGAACTTAACTGTCTTATTCTAGTATTTTTCTATTATATTAATATTACGACTACTTGTAATCAACAAATACTAGAACAAAAATTATTCTATAATATAGAATCGATTAATTGAATGTAATACGCGTATTCCTTTCAATCAATCGATTTAAAGCGGAAGGAGCTTTCCCATCACTAAATAGTTCTTGAACGTCATACAAAAAATGTGGCACGCTTGGTTTTCATACCAATTGCTGTACTTGCGGCGTCTAGATATACGTCTGTGATTTTGACGCTAACTGTAAACCAAAAGATTAAATGAGGTTCTAGTCTACCTGTTGCGACTGTAGAGTGTAGGTACGTCACTTTTATTTAAAAAATCGTCTCTTAAAGTAGAAAATTAAAAAATAATATACAGGCGTATTTCAAGTCTTGGCACTTAAAAATTCACCCCGTGTTACAAGTACAAGAGACGTTCGTAATAAACGTTTAGTGTGTAGTGTTTTAGTAAAGCGTTACTTACTAACTAAACAATATAAAACAATACGAACACAAACATGCTACTTACAATTACTGTAACAAAACATACTAAAAATACTTACGGGATGTCCATTGGTGTAATAAATAATCACTCATCGACTGACGCAGCCATTACACAAATGTATATAGGAACGAAGTCGATAATATACAGGCCTCATGCAGTTAGTTTCGAATTATATTTCAGAGAGAATTATATTTTTATATTTCGAATTATTTTCTCTAAATCATCGGGAACTCTCGGGAAACAACGACTATTGCCGAACGCGTGAATGAAGGTATCTATGCATTGACCAACAAATGGACGTCGGGTCTAATACAAAAACCACGAAAAAAATGTTCGAAGTTAACCTATACCAACGTAGTGACATGTAACTAAATATAAAAAAAACTAAAACATTTAATTTACATTATAACGTTTGTAAAGTAATTTAAATTGCAGTACTGCTTAATTTTGCTTGTAAAAATGTAAGGGCCCAAAAACACCGTATTTAACTTCTAATGGAAACTTAACAAAATGCACCATATTTAGCTTCGACTGAAAATTACTTGAACACAAGAGTAATGGAGCGGCCTTTATTGTGTCGAATTTCGTACAAATTCATTTAAAGAAATAATAAAGAGTTGGGCAGATACATATAAACAAATATTACAAATTTAATGTGAATATTAGCGTGTACTATAAGAAATATACCGATATTCCAACTAAACGTACACTTAAATATCCGTAATTCCGAAAACCGATTTATGATAAAACCGTTACGTTTTTACAAAGACAAAATTAGCTTTTGTTTTGTAATATTCCTAAAAAAACATTTGACAAAATTCGAGCTAATGTTATTTCGGGCAAATGTATTTTCTGACTTGCGATAGGTAATCCCAGGCCGTAAAACGAGTACAACAATATTTTGTTCGTTATTGATAACATTTAATAAAAAATCATTTTAAAAATAAGATGAAAATCAAAACGACTCATAATTTCTTTGCTCTAAATATTTCAATCGCTTGTGGCTCGAACAATTGAAAACGACCAAGAAGTTTATATAAGCTTCTTGAAATTGATGTAATGGGTCTCTTTCCATCTTTTGCGCATGCAATGTGTAGAAGAAGGACTTTTTATAAATAATATCAAGTGACCTGATGTCAGTGCGACTGATGGTAAGCTTATTGCCTGTCCATAACAGCTGCAGTGCCACTCAGAGCTTTAAATCGCAAAGATCTGAGGAACACTGCCACTCCGTCAGTCGCCCTGAGACATAAGTTGACATGTCCCATGTGCCTGTAATTTCACCAGCACCCTTGCCCTTCAAAACCGGAACACGGTAATGCTGACATTACTGCATGCCGGCAGAAGTAGGTAAGGTGGCAGTTGGCAGTACTTCCCTGGACGAACTCTGTCACAAGGAACTCTACTGCTACTATGTTATTATTTTGTTTGCTTTTGTAATTTATATTTACGATTCATTTATATATAAATTAAATACTATCTAATGATTTTGGACTGATTTTGGACTAACAGTCCAAAATCATACTTTTAAATGATAACTATGATGACACAATGTATTTGTTTAGTGAAAATATGATACAAAATCCTGTTTTTACTCTTCACTGCAGTACTTTTTTTACATTATGTAATACTGCATGATTGACAACTGCGCTGTCAGACGAATAAATGAAGATTGTTGCGCGATTGACGCTCTGTATGCGATTTTAACGCCCTACACGCGGACACTTTTTAGCGCGACCCCGACGTCCATTTGATGGTAGGTCAATGTATTTATGACAATAAAATATTAATCTTTATTAGTCAATGCTAACGTCAAAGTCATTGGCTACGTTGAGAAGTTTCGTATTTAGTTGTCGTAAATGCGCTCATTCATATGGTAACTTATATACGCAGCAACAGCGTTCGGAAATATTCGTGGTTTCCGAGTTTCTCCGATATCCAATGTTTATTTACCACATCTGTAGATGAGGTCTGAGAGAAAGAGAAAATACGAGAGTCGTTGCCGCTCTGAAAATAATTATTAGTCTCAGCGCTAACACCCTCCAATGAGAGGAGCGAACTCACAACAACCCACAACGGTTCGAACCTAAAACAATAAATACGGAATACTTACGGAAATTCCACGGCACAACGGTCGAATCACGGAGAGACCAAACAAAAATCATTCAAGACAAACGAAAACCATCGCAATCAGCACATTTGACAACACAAAGCAGCCGACTAGGCATTTCTTATAGAGGCTCAAGTCTGGTTTAAAAAGTATTTGATACAAATGCTGCTGCTTCTTGATTAACAAGAGAGAGACAGAGAAGAAAAAAAAATTGAAAAATGCTTCGTACAGTTGTTTTCTCAATACATGATCCTAACCACCACTCACAATCTACAAAAAAGAAATATCCGAGACATTTCATACTTAAAGTAGCGTCCGAAAATTAAAAAAAAACCGCCAAGTAAAACCTTAAAGTTATAAAACCTATCCTATCAGTCTTTTTAAATTTATATTCACCCTTACAGAGTTTAGTACAGGGTTCAGTTCACATAATACATATATCTCGTAAGACCGTCATCACACTTAATCGATACGGAAACGCATAATTTTAAAGTTCACTACCTACTGGTGAAATTAAGTGGTGATTTGTGTATTTTCTTATTTTTTATGTTCCTAATATGTACTAGTAACCATTAAGTAACCTGTGATTGCACTAACATACTTTAAAGGTT